TTGTTTGTTGATTATCGGGTGTCGAGTCTTGATGTGCAATGTTATCTCCCATCTGTGATATGCTTTCATATCTATTAGAGGTACTTGTTGGGGGTGGTTGTTGCTGGTTATTGTAAGAATGACCATTATTCTTTTTCCGTTTTTTAACTACTTGCCAGGCATGTTTTGATTGCGTTAGGGTGTTTTGTGTGCTTTCATTCTCTAATATATCAGAGTTTGCGTCGGATTCGTCGCGAAACATTTGAAGTCATTTTCTACTCTCTATGTTTTTGTTCTGAGCGCATCGCCCATAAATGTACTAAAGGCACACATTCATTAAAAATTCTGGGGTAATGGATAAGATGATGATATTTTGGCTTTAATGATTTAAAAAATTTAATAAATCAGCTATTATGTTCTTCAATAACAATTTTAAGGCGAACTGATTCAGAAAAATGTAAAGAAGGGGCAGTTATTATATCGATTAGCTCTTTAAGCTTAATCCAAAGTTCCCAAATTGGAAGATCTTCCGGGATTAAATCTCCGATTAAAAGTCCCAGGTATCTTGAGAAGCACAACATTTCACTTGCTGACATTCTGATTTTGTTCTTTAAATTATCTGATGGAATTAGAGGAGGTCTGTTCGATTTTTCCAATTCCGCATAATTAAAACATTTTATTCTTGAATTTAGTGTATCTAAAGTAAACAATTTTTCGTACTTCCGAGACTAAAGTGACAACTTCACTCCATTATGACAAGTACTAAAGTGTCACTTTTTGTCCCGCCGGGATTAAATTTTACGAAAATCCCGGAAGGATGAAATTACTAACAAAGCAATTTCAGTAGGTTCTTCCACATTTTGTATGCGGCACTACTTCTTAAACGCATCGTACTGCTGTTCATATAGTTTTTGGATTTCGGTGGTATCAATTCTTTACCTACTTTGGTTGCTTTTTATCAATATCAAATACACGTTTGTCACCCACCACCAAAATTATGACACTAGCAATGACAGTTCCTATAGTAACTTGTTGAGCAGCGATTTTTTGAAAGAACGCGTTCTCAAACTCCATACATATTAAGTGTTTCAGTTTCGAAAGTACGAAAAATATCGTATATACCTTGCGACTGAAGTAGTTAGTGGTCTTAATCCCTCAGGTAAACTTTACCTTCGGGATTAAAAGTAGTACTTCAGTCCCGCGGTATATAATATACTATTAATTCAAATATTAGATTTTTCAATAAGAATGTTAGGTCATAAGTGCACACGCCGTCAAATACGTCGTGCATCACATCAACACAATAATTAGTCGTGATATTGAAATCCCCCAATTCATTCCAAATGCAAGGTTCTTTTATACCAGTTCTGGAAATATCTTGTAAATTTAAATCAAGTTTATGGTTATGTTTCTCATAAGATCTTCGTTTTCAGTAATAGCTGACTGTGATTGTACTTTGTTCATTTTACAAAATCGACAAGAATAATTTGCAGAAAAAGTTTCAGTCACACCGAGAATCGTATGTAGCCCTAAATTATCTTCCACTATAAGGCCAAGCGTAAAATATATAATTCCTTCTTTTTCGTCAACTGTAACTTTAATACCAACTTCTTGTAAAAATGTTAACTCTGTTAGTACCTCTTTAAACACTGCTTTATTACCAAACTCCTTGCGATCAACAGAATGAAATAGAGCAAATAGAAAAATATTACTTATGGAAGATAGTAATTCTGGTGGCATGCAAGCAATCGATATTATATAAACAGCCCCAAGCTTATTTTTACCCGAATGAGGTGCTAAGGCGTTTCCGGTTTTATAGTCATCAAAAAATAAGAAGAGTGAAAATATAGTTTTTTTTTGTACGCTTTTATTTTATTCTTCCATAAGTTACCTTGAACAAAATTTTGGAAATATATCGATTTTGCAAGTAATTCTGTACCGACCGTTTCATTATATTAAGAAAGTTAGGCCTCCCAAATAATAATTTAAATGTTAATCTTGGAGGTACAATTTTGCCCATAACGTTAATAGGTTCCAGAATGGATGCTTCGTTTTTACTTTTTGCCACTAACCGTTGACCAATGGTGAAATCGCGAGGAGGCACAAAATATCCGGTATATGGATCATGGATGTTTTACCCAACTTGTTTAACGTCGGCAATTAAAGCTGAGACCGCCACACATTTTTGGGTAAAATTGTTCTCTATTTCGAAAATACCTTTTTCGACGAAAGCCCATACAACGGCCGGGGAATATTCTGCACGGAGTGAATGACAAATTTTAAAAGCCAGGTCCACCGCCGCTTTTAAGGGAGTATCAACCTTGTAAAATATGTCGTTGACATTAACGTATGAAGCTTCTATGGAATTGTGTGCCGATCCAACAATTACTGGCAAGGCATGTGCAGTATATCCAAAGGCTTGATATTTGCTGCGTCCTGCAGAAAACTGAATGCACGGGAGAATGTGCACGTTTTCTTTTCCTTGTATTATTAGTCCTTGAGGCAACCATCCTATATGAATGATCTGCTACAGAAGTGGATCTGATTGTTGGGAACAGGCGTCTCAATTGGCAATAATGAAGGACATGCTTCGGAAACAACATTTGCAATAAACATATAATCAAAAAAATGTAGATAAATCTGGAATCAGCGGGATAAAAAATAGTTACCTACATTGTCTTTTTTCGGATAAATACAATACGAAAAAATGTCACTATCAAAGTTTTTGTTGTTATAAAAATTCTACTATTCCATTAACAAAATAATGTGTATCACCATAGACTAATACCCTCCCGGAGGGGTATTAGTCTATGCCCTATGGCCTCACAAAATGTGAATACTCTGCATATAAGAATAGTTATTTAACATAGGTACTGTAAAACGGGGTTACTTCGACATGTTTTAGCTATAATTCGTGCTGTGTGAAAAAAACCATTCATCTTAAAAACTTGGCCTATGTGCCATCGTAACAATAGGGTCTTCCTGAAAAAAAATATTGTAACTTTTTTGTGTCTTACTGTAAAGTTTATAACCTGTAATTAAACATCTCATATACAAAACTTTTTTTTCTAATTGCAACATGTCAGGAAACAACATATAATATCGTAAAACTTTCAAATTTTGTCATGCAACCGACGACATGCCGATATTGGCCGAGCGTCGCATACGTCACTACGCGGGTTGCCGATCGGGAGTTATATTAGTGCATGACACTGATAGGAGTTCGATTCGACTTATTATGGCAATCTGCCATAAACTGAGTTCTGACTGGTTCGTAAAGGGGCAGTTAGATAGTCTGCCAAAGGTTGAAATGTTAATGGTCGCCGCCTTTTTCTCGAAAAGTGAGTTTTTCCATGCCACTCGTTTGAGTGGAGTCAAAGCCCAGAAGCAAATCTGTTATGGTTCATAGGAAGTATAACATCAAGTTTTGTGTGTATAATGCAAGGTATAGTGTAGGTGTCCACGCAACAGGAGTGAAAAAAAATTGTTATTTTTTTTAGCGGACTGTATTAAGAAAAATTACGCAAACAATATAAGTACACACCAATGCTCATCCACTTACCTCGAGCCGGATGTTTGTAGGTGTGGGGATCCCCCTTATCAGCTTATAGTAGTAGTACCCGGCACTATCCACTTAACGTAGAAAACCTTCGGTAAAATTGTAGTACGTTTATGTGTCTGCATTCGAAACGCCAACTCTCGTCTGCACTTTTCGTCGGCGCAGGTTTGTAGATAAAAACTCGTGTGTTTAAGATAAGTAATAGAATTTTGAATAAAGGAAAATTTCTCCGCAATGAAATAAATTAAAAATTATTAGAAAAATTAAATGGTTAATGTTGCGTCAACAGTAGGTGTCTAATAAAGTATGCACCTTACGGATTTCAACGAGAAAATTAGAGTGTTGGATATGTGGAAGTGAAAATAGAGAAAATTGTGTGCACTGTAAGGGCACAGATATGCCCAGAACAGAGTTCGAAATAAATCATATTCTGAATTGCAATTACAATATTACATATCGATGGATTTTCGTCGATAACTGACTGAAAGTAAATCGACATTATGTACTTTAATTAATTAGAATCGTCTTCACAATACAAATGGGATGTCAAACTCGTGGTATCACGTCGAACTTTTTTCGTATATTTCCTGTTGGAACCTTTATATACAATTTATTAGGTTCGCGATGACTTCTGCTATCACACCCAGGTGCAAATGCAATAATCATTCGACGCTTTTTTCAATGCTACGGCTGAGCGCCAATGTGCGTAGTGACGTCACAGCAACGTGGCGGTCATTCGAAACTTTTCAAACGCCGTTCATTTTAAAATCGTGTTTGCTAATCACAACGATTTCTCTTGACAAAAAAATTAGTACCAATAATTTTTTTAATATGCTTGGAGTTCATTTTCAAGGTTTTTGAAAAAACGCGGAAAACCCAATTGAACCTTTGGCTCTTTATAGACAAAAAAATTTTTCCCCCACCACCACCTTCTATATTTTTTTTGTGGGTTTTTAAGTGTCGAAGTTACACCGTGTAGTGGGGTAACTTCGACACCACAGTTAATTCCACAGAATGTCGAAGATGTGATTTTTCAGGGCAACTTCGACACCAAAATAGTAAACCATCATGAACTAGAAGCATTGGGAAATGGTTTAAAGAGCTATAATTAGGCAAATAAAACACAGAAAAAAGAAAATACAGTTTATTCTTCTCAAAAACTTTGGTAAGAAGCTGTTGGATATAAACATGAAAAACTAAAATAAAATTCTTCTAACTAAACGAAAACCTTAAATAACGTAACAACAGCATTATATAAATCTATATAGAACATGAAAACAACAGACAACAGTGATCACACTTACGACATGGAACTCGACTTTACGCCAATCGACGCGATGCGATTCCAAATGTTTAGATTTTCGTCAAGCTGCATTGCGTTGCATAGCGTTGGCAGGTGTAAATCTGCACGCGCACACGTGCATCTTTTTTTCTTTTAGTTTAGTTTAACAATGGAAGCAGAGCTAATTGACCATGTGCGAGAGCATCCCTGTCTATATGACATAAAAAGCAAATTTTATAGAGATCAGGCAATAAGGCAGGAGGCCTGGGAGGATATCGCCAATAGAATGTAACAGGTAAGTTAATACAAACATTTATTTAAGTACACGTACAGTTAACGAGAAGTAAAGTAAAATTGCAAATATGCATGAAATTTGTCACGTGTCACATATTTTGTCTTCCTCGTCGTACGCGTTCCACTTGCCATGGAACACTTCCAGCTTCTGACATAAAATAATCTTTGAATTTGTCCCTAACGTACATAGCTTGTTGAGTATAATTTTGCCTTAATCGACCGAGATTATATAAACCAGATTCAGCCTGATTGAAGTGGTCATTTTCGGGCTCGAAGTCCCTATTATCACAAAGTAAATTATGTAGACAACATGAAGCTAGAACAATAGTATCCACCTTATCTGGTTGTACCTCCATGTAACGTAGAAAAATTCTCCATCTAGCGCTTAAAATCCCAAAAGCATTCTCTACCACTCTTCGAGCCCTGGATAATCGATAATTGAATATCTTATTAGCTTCATTACCTGCAATATTTTGTCTGCTATAAGGTCGAAGAAGGTAGTTTTTTAATGGAAATGCTTCATCTCCTACTATCACCAACGGTAATGCTTCTCCGCCTTCAACTAATGGCTTATCATGAGGTACGTTCATACTCTTGCTAGCTAATGATTTCCCAAGTTGAGAATTACTAAATATAGCCCCATCACTATTTCGACCGTAAGAACCTACATCAATTGCAATAAACTTGTAGTTGGCATCTACCAGTGCAAGAAGGACAATAGAGTAGTTTCCCTTATAATTATAAAAATCCGATCCGCTATTTATGGGACATCGTATGTTGATGTGCTTCCCATCAAGGGCTCCTAAACAGTTGGGGAAGTTCCATATATTCTTATAGCCTTCTGTAATTGTACGCCAAGTTTCTTCAGTAGGAGGTGGCATTACTATAGGGCCCAGCATCTTTCCAATGACTTCGCAAACTTCATATATAATACTTCGTACTGTACTGAATCCCATTTTGTAGCTGAATCCGAGAGAACGAAATGAATTTCCTGTAGCCAAAAATCTGAAAATCAGATATACCAATTGTTAATGATGTTTCTTTTATGTTTTAGCGGATGCAGTGAAAGCTTTGTGGGTGAAGTTAAGAAACGCGTTTATAGCGGCGAAGAAAAGAAGAAAAACAAAAAGCGGTCAATCAGCAAGAAAGATTGCTGCTTGGAAGTATGAACAAGAAATGTCTTTTTTAATTCCTTTTTTGGAAATGAGAGAGACATCAAGCAACTTAGAAAAAGTAACCAATGTGGAAGAAGAGGAAGAAGAGAGCCTTGATCCTGAAGATACACTGGACTCTGAAGAGGTCTCTCACACCCAGGAGCATGAGGGTGGAGAGAACAAGACACCAACTCGCGTAACGCCAGTGAAGATGCGTAAGCATCAGAATCCTGCGCAAGAGATGGTGCAAATAATGAAAAGGAATGCCGAAATGCGAATCAAGCGGCATGAGAATGACATAAAACATGATGAGGTGGATATGTTTTACTTGAGCATGGCGAAAACTGTAAAACGTCTACCTCAATTGGAGCAGGCGAATATTCGTATGGCATTATGTCAGTTGGTGTCAGAAGCGGAAATTAGGGGTCTACAAGGAATTCCGGAACGTTCCACTTCTTCCTCCTCCATGTCAACTTTCACTTCGTCGTCTGCTCCTAGTCCAAATGTGGATCAAAGATCGTACACAGAACAATTATTTTGGGGACATGAACCAATACCATAATTTGTAAATAAATGTTGTAAATTTGTTATTAAACGTAACTTACCTTAAGCAAACAGCTAGTCTTTCTTTGGTTCCAATTGCGCGTCGAAATTTTGAGTCAATTTTTCTAATCTTGTCTTTGATTAAATCGTGGAGATAATTGAACTGATTCTTGCTCATACGAAAGTACATGTGGAATCGATCACTATTCTCTTCTTTTTCCAAAATCTTAATTAAGGTATGATATTCACCATCGTTTTCTCTATTCAAATTAATTTCGTGTACCCACACACTTCTTCTTTTACAATGCGCTTCTATGCACATAATAGCCACGCACGCTTCCTCAATTTCTTCTTCGTATTCATCGGAACTACCCAAATCCATCTTATGTCGTCTGTTACTTTTGATGAACTGGAGATGACTGTATGTATTTTATGGTAAGTGAAGTGGCGTTCCGTTGCGTGACGGCGCGTCGCATCGTTCAAATATGCACACACAGGAAAACTAACGAAAATATGGCGTAACGTCGCGTCGCTTCGCGTCACCTATATATGTTTCCGGCTTTAGTCTTCGTCGAAACAAATGGGACACTCGTATCTCGCTTGTTTGGATCCCTTGTTGCAGTATCCACAAACCCACTTTCCACAGTTCACACACTTGATCCCAAGACTTTTTATATGTGTACTAGGAGTATGGAACCAAACAAATGCAACAACAATTGCATGAAGGACATTCATATTGCGGGTCCTTGGAGCCATCATTGTAAATACCGCATACCCACTTTAAACAAGAAACGCAACAAATCCACTCTGTCTCTGTCAGTGTAGGTTGCGTAAGAACATTTGCATATAGAGCAGGAAGAATCGGAGTCAGTGTCGACAATGTCTGTCTTGTTTCGGCGAGCTCTGGACGGTCCAGGTTTATCAGGAGCAACGGTCTTTGATTTTTTTGGTTTGATGGGGAGTCTTGTCTTTGGTTTCTTCGTAGTTGGAGTTGCATCAACAAAAATTTTTGGTAAATCCATTGGTGAGTCTAAACGGGTTGGAGTGCTGTTTCAACTGATCTTTGCATCTGCTGGCCTGGTCTTGCAGACACTTGTTTTCCCTTTTGAGAGAATTTGTCGGTTCCTTGGAATATCCTCTAGCCTCCTGCAAAAATTCTAAGAAACTTGAATCTAGCACTCTCTCGGAATCCGGCTTTGCGCCAGGAATTTTCGCCAAAACTTTTTCAGGATTAAATGGGCTCAGCCCTGTTGCTCTAAAGCCAGATTGAAGATTTGTAGCAGACGTGTTTTCAATATGGAACCACAATCTATTTACGATGCTTGGGAAATGTTCTTTCGGGATGCTTCCTTTTCGACGACATTCCTTTCTCCATAAATCCAGAATTTCGCGCCATTTCCGCTTCATGGGGGCAAAAAAACTGACGTCCAGAGGTTGCATCAAATGCGTTGAATTTGATGGTAGGGGGTCATATAAATATTATTTTCTTCAGCTGCTTCAACAACGCGAGGGGAAAAGTGTGACGCAAGATTATCTCCAATCACAACTTTTGTTTGTTCATGGGTGCTCTTAGCATTAATGTGAGGAATCAAAACATCAAAAAACCATTGTTCGAATGTGTTTATATCGAACCACCCACTTGGCGTCACCCGATAAATTGCGCCTGCAGGACCTCCCTTACTCCAATTTTCGTACAGGTGTTTGTGCCTTATACACGACCATGGGAGGAAGCAAGTCCCCATTAGCTGATCCGCAAACCATGATGCTGATCGATGTCCTCGAGTGCTCTTGAACTCGTTCGACTCTCTTGGTTCCTCTGGGCACCAACACTTTCTTCGAACCAGGGTCATCAGTGATATTCGTCTCATCATAATTGTAAACATATTATATTACATTATACATTATATTCTAAGATGTCTCTTATGTTCTCAAAAAATTCTTGAAGTTGCTGCTTTCAGAAATTCCTCTCTGTAATACAGGTACATACAGGGTGACAATTTGAAAACTTACCACCCCTCATATCGACAAATAGGTATCAAACCAGTTTAATTAAGACACCAGCATCACATCCATATAAATTCTACAAATTTTTTGCGGGTTATATATATATATATATATATATATATATATATATAAAATTTAGTTAGTGAACCGGTAAATCTAAAAAATTTAAACTTTTTCAGGTTCGCAACCGCGTAATTGTCACAATTGGAACTTTCAGATTTTAAAGTATACGGGCCTATATATATATATATATACAGTTGCTGGGGGAAGTTATGAAATGATCTGGAACCCTTACAAATAAGGGTTGAAAAATGGGTTTATATAGGCAACTTAAACAACAGGATTGTGCAGCACAAGTTGCCTACAAACTCAATATTTTTGGCGGCTATATGATGACACAACCGCAAAATCCTTTACGTCAAGAAAGAACAGCTGGTAAGAAGTTTGATTAAAGTTGCCAATTAATTGTAGGATTTGAGGACTTGTACAAAAGTGGTCTGTATTTTTTATTTATCGGGGAAGCTCATTTATTATTTCTAGGAGCCGTTGCCTCTGTTTCCTTCCAACTTTAACGAAAGGGGGCAACGGCTCGTTTCTTTTGAATGGTTGAACCACACTGGCCCCGACGTTGAAAGTAAACCTATCAAACAACTGTACGGTATACAATGTGTGACGTGTTCGTTGGGCCGTGGCGACGACTCGGCCTAGCCAGTACGCCTTGAACCGTTCCTTAGCCGAGACCAAGTCGCCGATCTGAATGTCACGGGGTGAAGGTGGTGGGTTGCGTGGTGGGGGTGTGGATGGACATGCAGATGGAGATGGAGCGGCAGGTGGTGGCGGTGACGTAGCCGAAAGTGGGCTCGATTTTTTAAATTTCCTTCAGAACCAAGTAGGCAAAAATTATGGGTAAAAAATAGTGGAAATTTGAACCTACTTGACATACCTAATGAACAATTAGAAAATAAACTTATATGTGAAAAACATTTTGATCCAAGTGTAATCATATGTGGCAGTTCGAAAAGGAAATTAGTTAGACATGCTTGTACCGTACCAATTCGGTGCGGCGGAAACGCCATGCTCTTCTAGAAATGCTACAGAAGATGAACTCTCTGTAAAGCAGCCTATTACGAAAGTGTATTCAAATAAGACATTTATCGCAAGCCGAATCTGACAAAACGTAATTTAGAACAGGAGGAAGTGCATTATCTGACACCTACCAAAAAAGACGAGTAAGTGTACCTACTTTTTTCAGATTTCAAAATGTAAATATCACGTTATAGAATTTGCCTTTTTGGCACGTACTGAAATAAAATAGTAGCAAGTTGTAGATATACAGGTAGGAGCCCATTCGACTAACACGGTTATCCTCATTCCTCATTGTTAAGTAATGTCCTATTGTTTATAATTATCTGTGACGGTTGTCGAAAGAAATCAATACAAAATGATGCGTACAAAAAAACTTTTTGGTCCATTTATTCATAAAGAGTAATTTGTTAAATTTGTTAAATTGTTAAATCGAACCCTCCCCCCTACAAGATACAACAGTTCCTGTTAAGACGAATACTGCATCTGTAGAGCAATATCCGCGTCGAGAAAAAAAGTTGTTGCGAAAACTATCGGCAAAAAACGCGTTACTAGTTAACAGTAGAATGAAACGGGAATTAACCGCCATGTCCGGAAGAAATGTTCTGAGCGGTGTTCTAAAAAACCATTCCAAAGATGCCCAAACATTGATAAATATGACTTGATTTCATAAAAGCAATACTAATTGGACCTCTCAAGAATTAACTCTAGCGATATCATATTACTAAAATCACAGACATTGCATAAATACACAAGATAAAATACAAAAATACCCTTACCATCAACACGCCCCATTACGCGACGGTTACAAGTGTTTCATTTGACCACCGGTGTCGAAACTACATTGATAACCAAATTTGTCACAAAAGTTACCACTCTTGATAATAAGGATAAACACTGCGTATTACTTTTCGATGAAATGTCACTTAAAAAGTATCTGCAGTATAACAAAACATTAGATCTTATAGAAGGGTTCCAAGATCTTGAACATTTGGGACGCTCTTCCAAGATAGCTAGTCAGAATCTAGTTTTTATGGTACGTGGTTTGTCAACCTTCGGTGTCGGGCTTTTTCGCCAAAATATGAAAATAAACTCATGCAGTTTTTAGACAACATGCTTTCAAAAAAATTATCGGTAATTATGATGCACTTGTGCAATTACCTACGATACCCTAAAATTGAATGAATTGTAGCAATTATAGCTATTAAGATAACTAGGTGTTTTGTAGGTACTTTAAAGGACGATGCCCATCTAAATACGAGCGACCGAAAGGAGCGAGGTTCTAACAGGCAAAGTCCTTTAAACTCATCGTGTTATCTTCTAGATTCTTTATAACACTGAAGCATATTTTATCAGAATACGTCTTTTATTAATATTTTATTACGAGAGAAAAATATTTCTCAAGATTGGCATAGGTAGAATCAACAACATGAGGTACGAAAAATTAAGCAGCGTACTTGAAGTAGTGTATAAAGGACGTTGCCATTGACGACGTCCTTTACGTAAGAAACAATGAATTTTATAATAGTTATATGTAGTAAGGGCATAAAAGTGATGATTATATTCTATAATCTACTTTTTAAACTTAAACGAATACTTCTTATTGCTTTTGCAGCATGTAAGTAATTCCTTTTGTTCGTCTCTTTTAATGTATTCAGTAAATTCCTGACATGACATGTTGAAATTCAATTTCGTACAAAGTTCAGCTTTCACCAAATCTACACGCATTCGATTCCGTTCATCTGTCCATAGGTTCGACATCAGAGAAAAAACTCGCTCTACATAGGCATTGCTAACTGGCACAGACAAAATTCTCGAGACGATTTTGTACAGCTCTACGGAAAAATCTGCGAAGTTGATTTCAAGTTTGAGTTTGTCTAGCGTTGACTTCAAAATATCAATTTCATCAAAAAGGGCATCCTGATTAACGTCAATACGACATGCTGTAACAGTTTCCATTATTTGGTTGAACGAAATGGAACCATTTGTTCTAATGTCGATGCTTGAAAAATGGTTGAAAGGTGAATTTTCAAAATCATAAAACTTGCTTAGGTAATCTAGAGTTCTCTGATAAACCTCGGTAGCTTCTTTTTCAAACTTGCGTTTTTCTTGAGGACCGAGTTTGTTTAAGGCGAACTTAACCTTGCTTCCAAAAAAATGTTCGTTCATTCTAGAAGTGATTTTAGTCCTCAATGCGTTCATTACTGCGTGTACTTCCAGAGCTCGTTAACGAATTGCTTTCCAGTTTTTAAATCGAAGTATTCAAAACGTATTCATAACACTCAGCAAAACTTAAATTAGCGTTGATATCTTCTTCCATTTCGTTTTGTTGAGTTTTAATGAACTCCCATACATTTTTGTTGCATTGGTCTTCTCCTAATTCCAAAAAATACTTCTTAACGGCAGGCCAAGACTTAATCAGTCGTTCAAGGGCTTTAAACAAAGATAGCCATCTTGTCACGACGTGTCTTAAAACGTTTTGATATTCTAAGTCTAAAAACTCAAAGCATTGCTTAAGATCAGCATTCTTTTTTGCGGAATTAGAAAATTCAGCATACACTTTAAGTACTAAATTTTCAAGTAGCATTTCTACCCGCATTGTGTATCACATGACAGTTACAGTTTGCCTTCAAAATATTGGGATTCATAGAACGCAACTTCTGGTAAACTGAATTGTGGACGCCATAGTTAACGGATGCATTATCTGCACTGTACGAACTCAAGTTTTCAATGTTTAGACCGCACTTTGTCAAAGTATTATTGATATCTCCAGTGATAGCCGCGGAACTTTCATCGTTGTCTTCATAAAATCTATCAACTTATCTTGAATTCCATTTTTCTTACTAAAATAGCGGACAGCAATAGGAAAAAGCTTCTGATTGCCCTTGTTTGAGGCGTCGCAACTAATAGAATATGAAATGGGTTGATCCGTTCCCGCTCCTAGTTCTACAAGGCAGTCTTCAATGGATTTTGGCCCGAACACATTTTCCACAATTGATTCGCTTTTAGTACGGCCACAATGAATCATTTTGGCCAAACTAGAATCCTTGTAGATGAATGAATTTAGTTTTATGCTGCAGTCAATGCTTCGATAGCTATGGTGATGATTCAGTCCGTGGTATATTTGGGCAACCTCTGCAATTGTGACCGCATGGTCTTCTTCAGAATACTTTTTTGGCAAAAATGCCGTTAGAAGTTGATTCGAAGTTTAAGTTTTCGTCCAACTTTGGTGTTTTTTGCTGTTAAGATGCATTTTTAGAGCTTTCTCGCCGTCGTGTTTTACTGTGAATTTTACATTGCAGGTACGGCATTTTGCAGTAAATTCATCGACTTTTGCGACCCATTTATTGTAAAGGTCATTATCGCACCAGCTATTATTGAATGTGGTAAAATAATGCCGTGCTTTTTTAGAAGTTGAGGGTTTGGGCTCTGTGTCTTCTTCTTCGATGCTTTAGTTTAGGGGATATTCTTAATGAGAAAGATAAGAAAAACAAGGTGCTGATTTTACTGACCTGATTGTACGTACAATGAACTAATTATAGACAGTTCTGCCAGTCTAACAACCTGCTGCATTGCTATCGCCACAACTACCCGCTTGCGACTGCGAATTTTATTTTGTTCAGTAATATGGCGACCGTTTCCGCCTACGCTCGTGCTATTCCGGTTAGTCATACTTGTAGCACTAATTAATAATAATAATAATAATATATAATTCGTGTTGCTATACATATTGTACTTACACATGTCAAGGTTGTACTGGAGTGAAGTTAAAACAGGTTACAATTCACATTAAAGTTTACAATTTAAAAACTCATCGTAAGAATAAAAGGAGTGAGATATCAACAGTTGCTTGATGACTAGTTTAAATTGGTGCAGTGGTAAAGACCGTATTTTTGGGGGCAGTTTATTATAAAATTTGTGAGACAAATAGTTTGGGCCATTTTGTCATAACTTTAACCTAAAAT